AGTTAGATATCTATAATTTTAATTAGAAGTTATTAAAATTCAAAACTTAACCCTAAACCTTTTAGTCTAAGATCCGCCACTATGACCGGGCGATGCCCAAGATTATTTAGGTGTAAGTAATAATTGGATAACAAATTCATTCTTTATTTTTATTTTTTTCATAAAACCTATGGTTTTGAGTGAATTTTGCTCTAGTTTGATGCTTGTGAATTGTATGATTTTGAGTATTTTTTTCCATGATCCTTATCTTTTTTGCAGTTTTATGTTTATTTATGTTATGATATTATGTTCAAGTACTTCAACAACTATTGATAAATTCGCTATATTTTATATTGATATATTGAAAACAAAGACACATTTTCAAAATAATTAAATAATTAAAGTTATTTTATTACAATTTTGTATATGTTTTGCATTTATCATTTCAATGAGTAGAAAATAGTAGAATTGTTTTCAAAAAATAGCAGTAATCAAATGTTCTCCAATCCATACATAAAAAATAGCATTTTTTTTTTGGTAAATAACTACCCCTAAAAGCACCCTTTGTTGAACTAACCACGCGTTTTTTTCGAAATTAAAAATACCACCCCTTAAAGTTAAAACCACTAGATAATTAGGTATCACCACCATTCCCATATTCTAGCTAGTTTTCTGATTTAGTCCGGCCAGTTTTCCGACTTAGGGGCCCACAAAATGTAAAAAATAAAATTGAATTATAAAAAACCCAAAGCCACCATGCCACCTCCGGCACCCCTCCCCTTCCCCGTTTTCGTTTTTGGCACCCCTCCCTTCCCCGTCCCCGTTTCCAGCAATCCCCTCCTTTCCCCAAAAAAATTGGATTTGATTAAATTAAACCAACACATTAAAGCCCTAAAAACTGAAAATTAAATTAATTTTTTTTGAAGAATGCAACCTTGAAATGAGCGGAGGAAGTAGCGACATGGAGGAGCGAGCAACGTGAATTCTGTGTCAGTCAGGGAGGGGGTGGTTTCGAGGTGGACTATGGAGGGGGTTTGCGACAGGGGTGGGGGCTAGGTGGGGTTTCGTGGACATGGGTGGGGTTTGGTGGGGTTTCGCGAGCAAGGGTTGGGGCTAGGTGGGGTTCGTTGGCATGCAGTAGTCGTGGCTGGTTGGGGTGGGGGTGGTTCGGCAGGTGGCTGATTTGGGTGGGGTGGCACGGGATGGGGGAGGGGATGGTTGTCAACCGGGGTTGAGACCAGGGGAAAATTTTATTTTTTTTAAATTTGATCTGATTTTAATTTATTTTTTTAATTTTTGACCAATCATATGGTTACACGTGTACCCTAAATCGGAAAACTGGCCGAAATTGTAGAAGGGTGGTGATATCTTTTGGTTTTGACTTTAATGGGTGGTATTTTATTAATTTCGAAAAAATGGGTGGTTAGTTCAATATAGGGTGCTTTTAGGGGTGATTATCTACAAAAAAATCCTAAAGATTATATAATTAATGGGTTGAATATATAAAATGATTAATCAGTAGTTGAGATGGTAATGCTTTTAATTCACATCTTGGTGGTCTTGAGTTCAAACCTTATGATAAACATATTGTACTTTATTAGTTGAAGGGAAAGATGATATGACAAGTTTATTGTAGGAGATGAGGGTGCCACGTGACACATAAACGTTTTTAAGAATGTTTTTTAATAGATAGGATATATACAGGTATTTTTAAACGTCAGACCACTTGTTAAGTAAAGGCGAAAAGAGTAAGCCAAAATACAAATTAAAGTGCTGTTATAGTGGTATATAATAATAATCCATTAACAAGAGAATAGTTGGTGAAGTACGTCAAAAAACCGACACTAACACATCTAATAATCCAAATGCATGATTTGATTTAAGCGGCTAGTCAATCACTAATAATACCATTTTCTCCCAATAATTAGACTTATCAAATCATTAACATTTCCAACCTGCAACCGACCATAAACTAAACTCGAATTATACAATTATAGTGTACACATGTCCAAACTTTACATTACAACATCAACATATATAACAAAAAGTTAGCTAGAGATAAAGTTCTTTAATTTCTAAAATAAGAGGAAAAATTCAAAAAAGAAAAAATGAAGGAAGAAATTGAAAGATTACCATTAACATTTTTATCAAAAGCATCTCCAATGATATGGGATTGTGGAAGTCCTCTTTATGACTCATATGAATTAGCTTCTTTTTCTCATATCATTGAAAGAAATATGATGGTTTTGCCATCATCATCAAGATCATCGTCGTCGTCGTCGACATGTTCGTCGTTATGGTCATCATCAACACGTAGTATGTTAAGATCCGAAGGGTTTAGCGGCTTTGAATGTTTGAAGAGGAAGGTGGAGTGGGAAGAAGAATTGAGTAAGAAGAAGGCTAATAAGAAGATTAAGGTTAGTGGGTGTTTTCGTCTTAATCGTAAATTTTGGAAGAAGTAATAAATTTTAAATATGAGTTTAATATGAATTGTATAAATTAAAGTTTGGCCAAATTGCTCAAATTTACGAAGGAGGGAAGGAAGGGTATGTATTTACAAGTGAAAAAGCAAGAACTTGTTGATAGCTAGATATGCGCTGCGTCGATGATATTATTATTGTCCTTTTAATGTTGCTTTTTTTTTTTTTTTTTTTGTTTGAAGCCTTTTAAAGTTTAATGTTGCTTTTAACCCGGCCTATTGATTGATATCTATATGAGCAAATTGATTGAATTTATAATTTAAAATAGTTTTTTTTTTTAACCATGCATGTAGTGTATGAATTAAGCTGAATGAATAAATATTTTTATATGATGATGTAGATTATAGGACGTAGTAGATATGTAGCAGTGCTGAAGGTGGAAGGATTTTTTTGCTAGTAAAGTACTGCCATATTGTTTGGAAGCTAAAGGAGAGATCAGATTTAGCATATGTACGTAGGTATGTAACATATACGAATAGGCAAGGGTGGATTTTGATTTAGTTCATTTGATTTAGCAATGCTTAAGCATTTTATTTTCAAACAAGAGGTTAAAATTTGAAGGACCAAACTTTGACCTTCCTATTTTTTATTCTAAGGCTCGTCATATATAGTACACAAAGTACTAATATGTCGTACATACGGCGTAGAATAACTATGTTGATATAACTTCCAAGTCTAGCTAGCTTGCTTGTTAGCAAGTGTTACTACCTACAATTACAAAAAAATCCAATGATCGCATTAAGGTCATTAAGAGGTAAGGCATGAGAGCATGACCCGTGCCAATCTTTCAATAAGGCATGAGAGCATGACCCATGCCAATCTTTCAATGAAATTAAACCATGCCAAAATAATTTTGAGTATTCCTCATAAAAAGAAGGCTGAAACAATACACTTTTAATATACGTAGTAAATGAATTTTTCATCAGTTCCTTAAAACGTACGTCGTAACATCAATTCAAACATAAAATTAATAAGCTTTATCGTTGTCACTGCTTAATTAAGATCTTTGTCTCTTCGTGCAACCTTAGTTTCTGCTTCAATTGCCTCATCGTCTCTGCCTCTACTATGGTGCTAATGCCACCATCATCTTCTTAACGATAGAGAAAAGGAAGACAATAAAGACGGAGCGAAATAGAAGAGATATCATCAAATCACAATATATGTGGTGATCAACGCAAAAGTAAAACCCAAGTCAAGTCCATTCTAACTAGTACGACCTAATCACATAAATATGGAGTAACAAGAATGTGTGTTACATCACTTTGAGGCACTATTCTTTCTTTCCTTTACATAATGCCTAATAGTCTGACCATTTCGTGTTGTTTTTATTAAAAAAATTCCTAATCTTCTCATTAATAAAATTATATTAATACAAGTTTTTTGTACTACGTATTTGATTTCTGTAATTCTCTCAAAGTGACCATTTGTCAAACATTCTCCGACCAAAAGTACTTACAGTACTAGCTAAAATGCCATGTTCTTTTTTGTTTTTATGTATTTTGAGAGATAAAAAAGGAGAAAATACATGTTCTCAACACGAGAAACTTGTATGTTTCTCAATTGAGTATTTTCGTCTTTTTGGACTAATGGAAGCTTAACAGCGTTAACCCACAAATAACATACTCATCTTTCCTCAATAATGAAGTTTGAGAATCCTTCACTAATGGAGGTCGAAATTTTCTACAACAATGAAGAAATCACTCACAAAAAATGACAAATGCCTACCATTTAGGGTTAACCATGCCCTTAATTTACATATTTTTCTTATGGTTTTTCGCTACCGAAATTGATGTGTTGGGGTCGGGATTTGTTGCGGTGTTAGTGGTGTACTGGTGTTGAGGATGGTGTTTGTTTGTTGGTGGGGACTTGGGGATGAATCCATCATTGTTGATGAGAAAGGAATAAGGAAGGAAGATGGAAGGAAGAAAATGGAAGGATGAAGATGACGGAGATAACGAAGGAAAAACTTCTGTAATCTCGTCACATGCTCCCTTCTCACACAATCAGCAAAGGGGTCCGCTACAATGTCTAAATAATTACAAAAATGTCATTTGAGAAACAAACCCAGTATCTCAATTGGGAAACTGGGGCTTGCTCATAAAAAAGTCACAATTAAATTATGCCCCGTACTTGTTATCTTCACATGAAATAAGATGGTTTGATCTGATTTGAATCTTTCTAATCCGATATGATGTATAAATTTGTCTAAACATTAACCGCATTTTTACACAGATCTATACGAAAAAAAACATTATCAAATTGGATCTTGTTGGATTCGTTTCGCAGTGTACTTTTCTAATATGTACTCCATAGTTTTTTATACATAAAATTTGAAGTACATAATTAAAGATATTTAACAATAAATTGAAATGTTTAGCAATAGTAGATAAACGAGAATTATATGTTTTGATTTAGTCTGATATGAATTTTTATATTTTAATCTAATTTTGACAAAAATAAAAACAAGTAACCGAAATACGGAGTAAAGATAAACCAGTTCTAACACAAAGACCGAAAACACTACTCATCAAACTCTTTTTTTAACTATTCCACCAATAGTAGTTCAATTGGACAACTAGTAAAGTTTTAATTTTTGACCTAGCTCAAACACAATCTAGAGACACTTGAGTTGTAGAATCATTCTAAACTTGTTTTGACTTTTTAATGTGTTAAAGCTGTACTTATAAAGTTATAATTGATCAACTCAAACTTGTACGATACATTTCGACATTTAGTCAAACTATACCTCTGTACATAACAACCACAGAATATCTCCCAACACTCTAAAACAAACGTGCCAACTGGCAAGCTGACATGTATGACGCATTACCTTTTCAATTTTAGATTTTGTCTTACATTTTTTTTCTTAAAAAGTTGAAACGCGTCGTTTAGTGCATTACAAGTTAAAAACCTAGTTGTTTGAAATGACAGTTAATATTGTCAGGAATTCAGTTGACGAATTCCTTTCTTTCTTCCCTCCAAAATTTTCATTGGCTAGGTTGAAGACTTCGTCAGCTTCACCAAGTTTTTAAGCAAAATATAAAAAGGGAAGAAATTATTCACAAAATATAAAAAATTCGAGGGTTCTGGAATTTTTTGTGATTATTTTTTCTTCCCCAAATCTTGCTAAATTTCTGGGTAAGTCTTCCATAAACCCTTTCCACATTACAGATCAGCTAAAACTATTTTAAAATTACTATTCAATTTGAAAGTCAATTGCTGAAAATTGGGTCATTCAACTCTTTTTAAATCATGGGTGTGTTGAGATTTTGAGTATTTTGTGCATTTTTGATTGAATTACTATTTAGTAGTAATTGTTGTTGCTGTTGTTGTTGTTGATTTTTCGGCGAAAAATTGCTGGGAATAAATTTTGTTAATGTCGGAGATTCGATTAGTTCGATGCCCAAAATGCGATCAGGTGTTGCCAGAGCCTCCTGTGTTTACTGTGTACCAATGTGGTGGTTGCGGAGCTATGCTTAAAGGTAAATTGCAGTTCTTTTAATCATATAGTTGTAATGCACACAATGTGTTAGTTAACATGTCTGAATGAGTTTTTCTGTTTTGGGGTTATTTTTGTTGATGTAATGAAATGAACAGCTAAGAAGAAGTCATCTGGAAGTGAGAATTTGGTGAGTTCTGATACAATTTTTGATAAGGGGGTAGAAGGGGTCAAGGATAGTGGTGGGTTAATTGATAAGGGTAGTTTTGATATGGGTAGTAGATCGCCGTTGAGATCTGGGTTTGGGGAAGGTGATGGAAGCAAGTTACCGGTGGAAGGGATTGATTTGACTGACTTTCAAGGGGGTTTACCCAAATCACCTTTGAGGGATAGATTTTTAAACGATCTTAGTTCTTCACCGGTGAGGTCAAGAACTGCTAGTCCATCCTCAATGAGGGGGAGGGGTTCAGGTGATCGAGATTTTGATGGGTTTGGGATTTCACCTGCTAGGTCGAGATATGTTAGCAGGTCACCTGTGAGGGAGCAAGGGGGTAGATCCCCGATGAGTGTGAGAACGAGAAATTTTAGCAGGTCGCCCATGAGGGGGACAGATGCTGTAGATAGATCACCTGCAAGGACAATGGATGGAGACATTGCTAATTCGCCATTGAGGGGAGATAGTGTCTCTGAAGTTGATGAGTATGCTGAGAAAGAACATGAGGGGACAAGAATTGAGAGTGACAGGTCAGAGAAACAGGAGAGGAGTGACAAGATGACTCCCAAAACTTCATTTAACACATGGCTTCCTGATGATAATCATCCCAGAGAGTCTAATGATAACAAATTAGGTAGGAGAAGAACAAAGTGGAGAGACCTAATTGGTGATGAGGCTGATCGGATTAGTGAAGGGAAGGAATCAGTCTATGCTGATGAACATCAGATGACTCCAGAAAGATTAATTGATGGTCCCATTCTTGGAAGTGGCTCTATTAAGGGAAGAATAGACAGAGATTCGATATTCAGGGATGACTATGTCGGAGGGCATGGAAGACCCAGGGCTGCTGTAGACCATAGGTACATTGGAAGTGATGGGGATCGGGTGATTCACAGAACTGTAAGGGAAGTTGTTGAAAGCGGGAGGAGTTCAGCTTCTTCAAGCACAGTTGATGGACCTTCAATCTATCATATCGACTCCTTTCATGGTCATGGGCACTCAAGGCACAGTTTTGAAAGTCGGAGAGACCCAGCTCATATTCACTATATGGATCGCCATGAGTTCAGTCAGAAATACCAGGAATCTATGCATCAGTATCCATCAAAACAACTGAGGGAATTTAATGATAAACTGTTTTTTTCTCCTGGGTTATTCAATAATGCTGATGATTATTCAGAAGAAAAGCATACGATTTTCAGACGGGGATCCAAACAGCAGTTTGCGCCAGATAGACACATGCCAATGCCTTCGTTTTCCAATCATGGACCTGGTCTGGCTCATGATATGGAAAACTCATATAATTACCCCCCTATATATGATGATCCATTTGCAGGCCAAACAAAAAGGGATCATTTTCCCAAGCATCAACAGTTTACACGTCGATCAAGGATGGGCTATATTCCAGGGAAGTCCTTGGACTTCGATCAGGATTCTCTCAGATCATATTGCAATGGGTCACATAATCACCATCCTGCATGTTCTTGCTCTCTCTGTCATAGAATGCCTCTCAATCCAGCTGCCCATCCAACATCCAGCCATAGTATGAATCTCCAAAGACGTGTTCCTCGGACCTATGATCCTAGAATGGCACATACTGGTCCTCGAGAACGACCATCCCACCTTGCTCCTCATCCAAGGAGAGTTCTGGTAACTGGACAGAACAAACGGATTTGCCTCCCCATTGCTGGTGGTGCCCCCTTTGTATTATGCCACAAATGCTTTGAGTTGCTCAAATTACCCGGGAAGTTCATGACCAAGAATAATAAAGAGTATAGATTGCAATGTGGGGCCTGCTCTTCTGTTATGTCATTTGATCTTCAGAATAGTTCGTTTGGTGCTCTTTCTTCACAGAAGAATCCAGATCTTGTCAATGCTACTAGTGGCTCTGGTAAAGTGCTGAGCGAGTCAGGTCCTAGACACCGCCGTGACAGTGTTGCTTCTACTGGTACAAATTTCGAATCTTATGATTTTGATGCAATAGGGAACAGATTCCAGTATACGGAATCCAAAGCCACTGAAGCCACAAGAGGACGGAGAATGGTTTCAAATTTTAATGAATATACTCGAGGTATTTCTCCATCATCTCATTCTTCTAAGGAAGAGCTCATTATAGATAGTGCAAGTGTGCAAAGCAGCCTACCAACTTCTTCAGAGACGGCTGTAAAGATTCGTCCTCCCCCTGGTTCACCTTTGCGGGAACATCTTGATTACTCTGGCCAACACCACAAAGCTGAGGCAGAAATTGCAAATGCTTGTACTGGGGAAGAGAAGCAAGTTCTTGAAAAAAATGTATCTCAAGATAGCTCTGTGGGAAATACTGCGGTTGCTTTAGAGACGGAAGATCATTCCCATGAGTCATCAACTAGTTTATCTGATTCTGGGGATGCTCCAACAGAATGCAGAGATGAAAACAAAAAGTCCTCTAGATCTCCTTTCTGGAAACCCTTTTCACCAAGACCTGGTTCTGCCTCCCTTGAAAAAGATGAGGTATTTGTCAATGGTCAGCGGGTACCACTTCATGTAATTAAAAAGGCAGAAAAGCTTGCTGGACCTATTGAACCAGGGAATTACTGGTAATTGTTGCAATACCTTTTAACTGCGTTTATATATATATATATATATATATATATATATATATATATATATATATATATATATATATATATATATATATATATATATATATATATATATGTGTGTGTGTGTGTGTGTATACGTGTTTCTTAATTGGTTATTTTAATGTAGGTACGATCCTAAAGCTGGTTTTTGGGGTGTAATGGATCATCATTGCCTTGGGATAATTCCGGTGAGTTATAGTGCAAATGAATTCCTTTCACTTCCATTTGGTTCCATCTATTATCTTGCCAATCTTCTATATAAAATGTTACATAGTAATAATTTTAGGAAGTGGCATTCTTATTTGTTTTGCAGCCATCTATTCCAGAATTCAGTTTTCCCATGCCAGAAAATTGTTCTAGAGGGAAAACCGCTGTTTATGTAAATGGCAGAGAGCTTCAGAAAAGAGATCTTGATTTACTTTCGAGTCGAGGACTTCCAACTATGAGAGACAAGAGATATATTATTGATATATCTGGAAAAGTCCTGGAGGAGCAGAGCAAAGACTACATTGCTAACCTTGGAAAACTTGCTCCCACGTGAGTGTCTCTGATTCTTTTGTTAGTTCACTTATTTGAAGCATTTAATTACCACATGTCAGCTCAAGTAGCTCCTTCCATTCATGAGAAACTTCATGTACATTTTGGGAACGTTCATTGTTTGATTTTGGTGGTAGATTAGTTGTCTAATTATTAGTGTCTACACAGAACCATCAGTAACAATTTTACAAATGAGAATTAATATGCTGTTAGAAGTGATTTCATATACTATCAGATTAAAAATAAAATATTTCAAATTTATCCCTGAAATGAGGCAGCACATTCACATCTTAGGAATGACTTTTATTTTCAGCCATTCCCTCAAAACAATAGAAAGAATAGGAATTTATTAGAATAGGAATTTAGCATTTTTTGAGCAATATCTCTGGTTAGTGGCATGATTAACTAGCCAAAGTATATAAGTTAATTTTTGTTTAATTTTTATTTTTTTTTTGGATTAAATCTATGATTCTCTACCTCTTAGTTTGAATTTGTAATTTGTATGCTCATGACAAAAATATTTTTCTGTGAAAATTGAGTTCGCATATGCATTTTAAATAGTTCTACTGTGTGTATTTTGATCAATGGATTGGGCACTCTTGAGCCTATTACTTTCATTATTGGCTATGAAGTTAGCTTTGAGTATGTTTATTGCGATTTTACCTGAAAGCGACCTTGTATAGATTTGGTTGTACACAAATTCAATAGATTTAAGTTACTTGAACAAACCATTTATCAACTACATCTTCATCGTGCTGTCTCAGCGTGATTTAGCATTCACGATGTGCTGACATTAGTGTCCTCGGACAGCCAAAATTATAATGAACATGGAGAAAATGAATTCTTCCCCTTATGCAGCGAAAAATCTATTTGTCTAACTTGTTAGGCAACTCACAGGAACTGAACTATCCTATAAGTCCTAAATGAACACTAATTCATCAATGCTTCAGCACCTCAATGTCAAAATTACTCACTCTACCTTATTTTTTTCATTCAGAGTTGAGAAGAAAAAGCGGGGATTTGGTATGCGCGTTCCAGAGGAATTCAATGATTAATATTTTTGGGGGCTGCTATCCTGAATTGGATAAAAGTTGAAACTGACAGAGGTTGAAAGATTGACAGTGTGCCATTTAGCACCGTGATCTGTGAAAACTTTCCATATTTTTGTGTATATCATTAATTTCCTCATCATTTGTTTGTTAAATTCATGAAATAAAATCCATTCTTTTTAAGGTTACTGTTGTCAAAAGGGTTGTTCAATTTTTTTTTTTTTGTAAGTCTGTAAAGTGCAAGATGTGGAGTGTTTTCTGCAGATTTCTGGAATTTTGAGATGCTTTATGTTTATTTGTAAAGATTAGTAGAAAAAAGATCAGTTGGATATTAACAATCTATTGTATATAAATCTACTGTCAATTGTTATACTTCCTCCGTTCTTTTAATATCGCATCACTTGCCTTTTAGGGAAGTTTCACAAATATTACATCACTTCTATTTTAGGACAAAAAAATATCTATGTTTACACTGCAAATATCCAACATATCCTTATTTTTTCACACTTACTTTTTATTTTATCTTTACATTACATGGACAATTTTGTATTTTTACGTTTCTCTCTCTTACTTTTTCCCACTACCAAATTTTGCCTCCAAAACCCCAATGATGCAATAAAAAAATAACGGGGGAAGTATAACAGATCTGATTAAAAGTTTTTTTAATCTACTACCTCTGTTTCTTAATGTTTGTTCAATTTAACTTTTTGCATAATTTTCATTGCATTTTTTTTTTTTATCAACGATATCTTAGCTTTATATATGTATAATAATAACGTACTCTGTATAAAAGGTATAGTAGTCTTACGTTGTCATATTTTATAAATTTCGTCGGGTCATGAACCGGTAGCATGTTAATTGTTGATTTTGTTGTTGTTCTAGTGCCTGTCTAGTGGAGCATCATGCACAATCTAATGAGAGGGTACATAATTAAGTTAGAGATACGGAATATATTACTAACTGTCATGTGTTCCAATCAAGTTTACTAAATTCTCTCAAACTTTTGCCAAGACAAGCACTGGAAAACCATTTTTGCCATAAGTCTATGGCAATCTGGAATTACAGAAACACAGCAATGTTTGAAGGTTCTATGACAAGAGTTATGCATTTATTTGCAAAATTCAATGCCCATCTTTACTTCAATAACAAAAATTTGCTGACTGAAAATGGAGTTTCAATTGCTAGCGAAGATAGAGTTGAGATGAATGGTCCCTGCCACAGATGGGGTACAAGAAGCTGAACACTGATGGGAGCTGGAAGGGTTCGAACCTGGCTGGTGGAGGTGGTGTTATTCAAAATGATGATGGGTCTTGGCTTGTGGGTTTCTCTATGAAGTTTCACTCTGTTTCCCCGGAAGCTGCAGAGCTACTTACAATAAGAGAGGGCCTGATTACTGCTAAAAAGTTTAATATCCAGCATCTTGAGCTGGAAACTGATGCAGATGCTCTGTAAAAAATGATCCAGAATGCGAGCTGGGAATGATTATCCAAGACATTGTGCATTTGCTTAGGGAAGATTGGATAGTTATCATTCTTCAAGCCAAAAGAGCTGCCAACGCTGTCGCTCACAATTTGGCTGAGTGTGGTTTACAATTGAGTTGATATGCTCGAGATGCCTTTGAAAGAGACTGCAAAAGGAACTGATCTGCTTTGGCTGCTGCCTTGGAGTGCTTGGGATGATAACCACACTTCAGACTTATGCTTATCCTTACTTGTGTTTGCTGTTACTACTAGTTGTATGCAGACTAAGGTTGTTTATCTTTTGTTTAATAACCTTTAGCAAGGTTATCTTCCTTTCTGTACTCATCAGTCTTGAACTGATTGAAGGCCCTTAGGCCAGGCCATTATTATATATATTATCTTTATGTGTGCTAAAAAAAAGTTCACTAAAAATGTTTGGAACAGTCATAAAATGTTACACCATTAAACCTTACAATAAAAATTGATTACTTAACAAATAAAATTTGAACAAGACAGAAAAACTTGATAGAGAGACATTGGAAATGGTTGATGAGTAGTCATACTCCGATAATTTAATTTGTTCAATTCTCGAGTACCATAAAATTCTGAAGTAGTTCTCATGGTGATAGCATCTTCAATTCACTGAGAATATAGATGTGGATCAAAACTGGAATACTTTCAAATTACTCAATTTAAACAAAAACAAATTACTCGGTATAATTAATGCATCAATAGTTATGAATAAGGAGACTCTAACCAAATAAGTGGTGTGAGTTTGCCGAGATATGATGAGCGACAATTGTAAAAATGATCCTCAAACTTGCCATCGGTTAAATTGTAAAGACATCCACCATGTCGCAGTCTTCGTCCCGGTGTTTGGCGGAGTATATTTCAGACGATCACCGGTATAGTAAATGCAACTAGGCTTAAAACCATGAGACGACTCAACAGAAAAGGAAGAATTTAAACCTATGAAAATTGTTCTATTTCCCAAGCTTGACACTTCCTTGAGCTCTCCGGTCATAACATTCAATTCAAATACGTCAAATCTTATAGTTTGATATTGGAAAATATGCCGCCTTTTGAAGGTAACAATTTCTCGACGAGTCACTTGACGTATAACCAACAATTTGCCTGATGATTCAACCAAGAAATGAAACCATGGTGTATCATTAACATTATATGTCAACATGTTTGGGACATGTCCACTAATCACAGCCACCACATCAAAATGAGGATTGCCTTTAGCAGTCTCAAATTTTACAAAAATACCAAATATATTAACGCCATAAAACTCTCCTTGGTAAAAAGTTAAATCGGTGCAATAAAAACTAAGAAAATTTTGAATATGGTAGGGGTATTCAGGCCATATTGGTCCCAGTGGAACAAGATGAGGATTCCTAACATGAATCCACCCATGGCCATCACCGGCACCGGCACCCCGATTATTCCTCCAGAAAACCAGATTTGATGCAAGATTGTCAGTGCCGGCATAGAAAGACACTGTAAGGAAGACAACAAAATCATTACTAGTTGAGGGATTGGCTGACAATATGAACCTATTAAGGATTGTTCTATGCCAATCAAAGTCTGAAATCTAGGCGGTTAATATTCCATAACTTAAGTATTGGGAGGTCTATAATGGCACCAGAAAAGGGTTTAAAATACTTGATTGTTTTGTTTTCGAGACGACGAGCAGCCACCCACGAGAAGATAACAATGGGTTTTTGTCATTCAAATCAGCTGGCAGGCTAATTAGGCGAACCATGCGCTTAGAGACGCTGTATAAGCGACGGATCTCCAATGTGAACAAATTTTTAGTAACGTCTCATAGTCTTCATATATTTCCACATGCTCTACAATTTTAGTCACAATATCTTTTGGCATATTACCCCAGTCTCTCATGTTTCTTTGTTTGGCTTTGGATCTAAAAAAGATTATGAGGGATCAAGATTTAAGGGATTTTATTATAGAAAATAAAAGGTGATTAGATTGTTTATATGCCGGAGTCATCTCTATCTATCTCCTTGAGTTGGAGTCATCAGTCATGTACTGCTTGGGATATATACGAGTACATTTACGATTATAATAAATTTATAATTGTGTGACCACGATATATATACAAAATATTTTCAAAATATTATCAAATTGAATTTTTCTATCCTTTTGCATATCACAATCCGAGTAAAATAAACGTAATAAAAATCCATCTGCATGTTTCGTCCTAGGTTGCTAGAGAGGACGGTAACATTGATAGTATCTTTATCATACAGAAAGAAGCATCGTTTTTCATTTTCATAAAGCAAAAATTTAGTGATGGTGATATGGTTCACATTTGCACAAGATGGATCTTATTATTCACATAGGAGTACGAAACCATACGAGCATTATCAAAGAAAATCATAATATCATAAGAACATAATTTACTAACAGTAAGCTGTTATAGTGCCACAGAAATAGAATACCAGCTGTACTCCAGTTAGAGCTGTTAGTGAGAGTGTTTTCCTTGTATATCGGTTTCTAGCAAAGTGAACTAAGCCATCCTATTATAACTTGTCAGTATAATATATACGACTATACATGCTGGCAACAGAAATAGAATACGACTATACATGTTGGCCATCTAGCTAGTATCCAGTGACTATTGCCTAATTGTCAGCTCAGCCTTGAGATGCAATACCATTGATAAATAACTGGCTATCCTCCGCCATAAACGAGGTCCATGTTGTACCAAACAAGTTCCTGTACCCCTCCAGTGAAATTGTAGTACCCTTGATATTAGGAAATAAACTCATCAGCCTAGCAGAAAATTCATAGTCCACAGCAAACAATACAGAACCCTTCTCCTGCATGCCCAGGAACAACCCAATACAAAGCAATGAAAGGAGCTCTCTCTGCTGATCCATATTACAGTGGCTGTGGCTGTCCATCGAGATGGAAAGCCTTCCCGACCTGATGGGAAGAAGTTCTGACATCCCTCTCTCCTCAGATCTAAATACACTATACACTATACACTGCAGCCGTGGCAGTTTGGAGGAGAGCTCTGGATCTAAGTCACTGCATGCCATGACTTTCCTTAGCTTCCTGCATGTCAAGTGTGGAAAACAGATCAGTCGGCAGAGTCGAGTACCAAGTACTTTTCGTCACTCCTCCAACTTGGAGTAGTATGTTCCAGCCCACTTCACTGCAAAATCATAAACTGCTTCTTCAAAAGCAACCTAAAGATCATCACTACACAACACTGCCTCGATTCCAGCAAGGAGCAGGTCCATTACCTCTGCCTGACATCTGATAAATAAGGGAGCTTGTGTGTTCCTTCCAAACCTTGTAACATTGGAAGTATTTCGTTAATGGATCCCTTCCCTCTCCCAAGTCATATTAAAACATGAGAAGAATGGAAGATAGATTCCCTTACTTACTATCATTTCCAACTGTGCAAGGCATCCAAATTCATCTTCTTAGTTCTTATACCTAATAAGGATTAAGAACAAGATTCGAAACACCCCTACCATCAAATGGCAACAAATTACCTCCTCCAATCAAATATTTCCAATACCAGTAACCAAAACCCCTAATTATTCATGCATCAAATAACACTAAAAAGCCACAACTACAATCATAACAAAATACATAACTCAAAACAAGAAATTAAAGCATTATCGCAAAAACAAACCTTGATGTCATCTCTCCTATGCTTCCGATTATTATCCCAATAAGCAATGGCGGTGCAACCATCGCCGTCAGATTTGGGATCAGCCAAATCTCTACTAAATCAGTCGGAAATGTTGCCAAATCCAAAATCACATTCCGCGCTTGAAGCTTGAAGCTAATCATTATTCCTTAGTAACGCTACTACTACTGGCACCCGATTTGATAATTGCAATTCTGGAGTTGCCCAACTCCATATTCGACTGTTTGATCATTTCCCCAGAAACTGTAACCCCAAATTTTGGTTTTCGAAGAAAAACAAAGTCCCCCCCAAATGTTAACAGTTATGGACCTTATGGTGTGTCAAGTCAAAGTAATTTTCCTCAAAAAAAGTCAAATATATTACTAGTATTTGATTTACACCATCTAGGTAGAGGGTCACAACCTCACCTGACCTGACTCGAGTCAAAACCGACCTAAAAAATATATGATTCAGATTTCAACTCATACGTACACAATAATTTAACATAATTCAAGTTTAAAAATAGGCTTGGTTCAACTTGAACACCCAAATTAATACAGCATAATTCAAGTTTAAAAATAGGTCTGGCTCAACTCGAGCACCCAAATTAAGTAATTAACACCTCTAGTATTACGTATTAGGTTTCAGTTACAATTGCAGAAAAATGATATGTACTCCGTATTTTGTTTATTTTAAAATATCAAATTAGCAAATAAAAAAATAACATCGGGTGCACTTTACACCCAAATATATACGAAATACACTTGATACTTAGAATTTTTTAGCCAAGGTTAATAACTTAATGAGCAGGAGAGGGGGGGGGGACCTGCTAGAATTGTCACCCTAGGCTGCTGCTCTGCTAGTTTTTTACCTGCTTTTGATACCGCACCTGCATTTATAATCAAATACTAATACTTGGTGAGATAATCCACCATTCGACGTTGAAAATCAAGCTATGTAAACATTTAGGCATATGATAATCTATAGATACACACAAATAATTCAGGTCAAGTTCATATACCGCAAATATGTCCCCTGATGTTTGCACACCTTTTTCGCAAAGCTTCGGTTTTTCCGTTTTTGTAGGAACTTAGGTCGAGCTGCTTCTCTTTCTGCAGAATGAATTCCTTTTCAACTTGAACTGATCATGTACGAAGGGCTTACAGCCTTCATTCTCCTCAACAAGGCTCGATTCCTTCTTGCCAGAAGCAGAGGTATTAAGCCATTAACATCAGTAATCTCAGATGCACTTCCATAGTTTTTGTTTACAAAAAGCATTACACTGAGTACTACTGCCACTTGGATCACGACTTGTGAGCTACTGTACTTAGATTGATCAGCTGATTTCTTAGTTTTAAGCCCGTCCCCAGCTTGGCCACACCCTTGAATAGAACCACGTACGAGTCCCTAAAAACAGGAAGCAAAATGTAAGTAAATTTCATATTATAAGACTATCAAAACTTTTATTAAATATTACAGACTATGACTTCTAAAAGGTTATGATAATACAAACTTCTGTTAAAAGGTGAAACGCAAGATCTATTTGGTTTCTAGGAAGACTATAGCATTACGCCATTACATTTTACAGGACATTGAGCTTCCTCATAAATGGCCATGCAACTTTTCTGAACTACAAACAAATCCAGTACACAAGCTACAGGTGCAACTATTTCAGAATTTACCAGAGAAGATACTAAAATAATAATTTCACAACTCAAGAATTTTTTGACAATCAGACATTTGAATCCTTAACCGAGGCAATTTTTTATTTTAGTCTAGACAATGAAGGGCTATCAAAAGTATGCAGTAAGAAAATGAACTCACTTGTAAATTGGCTCCTTGTAAAGAGGCCCATAATTTAATTTGAGCTCCCTAAAGTGCATAATATGCCTTGAGCCAATAGACGGCCATGACAACACTCAATTCTCCGAACCAGTTCTGAAAGTATAGAAATTAAAAATATACCATATGATTAGTAAAAATTATTAAAAATTATCTATATATTTCACAGGCAAACCAAGGTTTCTAACTCAGTAACTCCCCAACCCTCCCATCCCGGGAAAATGGACTGCTGCAATTTTATTTTTTATTTAACAAGATAGAGTAATTTGGCTATTTGACGTCTAAATTTTATTTGATTGTATAAGAATTTTTAATTTGTTTAGTTAACTGATTGTCCATTTATATTCACATGCTACATTTGTTTCTTATTATATGCAACAAAGGGGTGTTATTTATGAGGCATAAAAAATTTCGTTGCAAATAGTAGGAAACAAAGGTTGTATAAGTTTCAAGTAATAAGAATGGCATTATCTATTAACAATGTAAAGAAAACAAATTAAATAATGGAAACACATCAAGCAGGCAACAGAAACAAAATAGTGAGTCACCCAGAATATTGCCAAAACAATGATATGATCAGTTGATATTATCAGTGCTCCAAACATTATAACATTCAACAAATGGGAATTTTTATATAAGATATGTAACCCCATCAAGATACCTAAAGCAGAAATCAACGGCAGTTCAAGTCATAAGCAAATCCACATAGCAATATAGTCATTATCAGATGGAAAAGGAGAGCAAAAGATGCCTACACCAGAAGGCCAGACAAAAATTGAGGCTTTAAAGGTTCCAAGAAAAGAAATTGTAACAATGGCTCCAAATTTTGAGAAGAATGGTTTCTGGCAGTCAAGAGATAAAGGTTAAATATGTATATATCAATGTTGCATCTTCAAAAGATTAAACTAAAAGATGGTGAAAGAATCAGGAGTTACATGAGCAAGAATAAACCATGACTGGGTGGCCACTATAGAGTCAGGGAAAACATATCTAAAACACAGCTTACACAAATACAGTTAAATAGTGCATATTATCCAAATGAATAGGTATTGGTTTAAAAGCTCAAAAGGATATAATATGATATGTGGTAGTAAGAAAAGAAAGAAAACTCTTCGTGAATGTTAAAGCATTCCCTGCAGTTTGGTTCTAAAAAAGATAAGTGAAATGAAGAAGAACGGAAGAATTCACTACAATTTCATTAATAAGGTAACAAGAACCTGATGCTAGTCTCTGTATTTTGAGATATTAGCAAGTCCACCAACAACGAAACTTGTCAACCACAATTAATACACTATCAGATAATTAATCGTGAAAACACTATAATTTGCAAATGTAAACCTGCCCTTTCATCACATTCACTGTATGACAATTGACTACTAAAACTCATTGCAATAAATTGTCTCAATCAAACCCGGCCTCAAAAGAGCTATGAGTATATAGGTAGTTAAGTTGCCAACTATACAATATCACAGGCAAGGAGTATGAGATCAAAAGAAACTCTGAATAAACAGACAAGTACCATATCTTTTATTGCAAAAATCCAAAGAACCCCATGAAAAAACCTTAGCACTGGAGCAATCCTCATTGCTAGACCCATAAGACATATTTTCCGAATCCCGATGTAACATAGAAATCTCCATCATGCTTAAAACGCACCAAATGCTAAACTCTGCTCCTGTTCAACAACTCTAAACAGAGCCATAAAATATAAAATCGTGAAGAATTGAATCAATAAAAAGCATCAAATAAAAAAAAATCAAACAATAGAAAATTAAATTTGACAAAAATGGGCTCATATGAAGTACCTTTGGAGAATGAAATCATTCATACGAGGGAAGAACACCAAAGTTTTGTCAAATATAATTTTCTATTCATTGATTAAAACCAATCACTTTATTTACACAAGGGTGATGAATCAACTATTCGTGTAAGCAACCTAGAGCAGTCATAATTCTCATAAAGGCTTATAATTTCAACAAAATCAAACAATGAAATATCTAAATATAGCACCCGAAGCAGTAAAACTCGACTTAAACATGTTTAAAATCAAATTAAAAGAGATAATCATCATCAAGCCAAAAAACACATGCATTTGGTTACCTTGTTCTAATAGGCAAAAACGACATGGACAACAGGAACAATTTGAGGACAAACAACTTCCGCTTCAGAGCCCATCTTCTTCAATACCATCAACAGAATAATCCAATTTCCCTAAAGCCTAGAATTTGATTGTATTGCAAAAATACAAAACCCTAAAGCACGCTCTAATTTTGGGTGGAAAATTAATCGATCAGGCTACTGTGAATGAGAATGAGAGATTGGAGTAATGGAATGGAGAATTGGAGATGTGGAGTAGAGGAAAAGGCGGGGAAAAGTAGATTGAATGCATTGGGAGTCAGACAGAAGAGAGAGGAATAGAGTCAAGTTTATTAAATTTTTGACAACGTAAAACTTTAACAATAAATAATAGTGATATGTTTTTCCTTACTTGTTATTCTTCTTATTCACAAAAAAATGGTCAAATAAGGATAGTGAATAGTGTAAAAGTCAAAGCGAATAAAGTAAAAAAAAACGGAGAAATTAATTAAGAGTTTACTAAAAATATTTTGAAACAGTTGACTAACTAAATACTCATAGCTAACATGCCTCAATCATGAACTAAGATTGGCGTCTTCGCGGTAGTATTCAAATCGGCATATTCTATTTTGTAATACTAGTACTATTCTCATTTGAGAGTAGATAATTTGAATATGAGAATTTTATAGCGAAAATGACTTAGCTTGAGCCTAAGGGTAGGTAGTTTAGGAACTAGGAGATAGGCCTTTAGGAGTGTTCAAGGACGATTAACCATGCGATTAAGCTGAACGATTCAATGGCTGATGCAGCTAATCATTATGCTAACAACAACTTAAATCAATGCATCAAAACTGATCTCAATGGATCATCAAAGAAAGCCTCAAAAAGGGCATTTTAACAGTTGTTAAAAAGCATATAATCGGTTATTAATGCATCAAAACCAGTCACACATTTCCTTTTAAATCATACCAAATTCAATACAATACACAACTTTGTATGTACCTTTTTTTTTTTTTGAAAACTTGTATACACAAGCATAAAATGTTACACCATCAAGCCTTACAATAAAAATTGATCATAAAATGTTACACCATCAAACCTTACAATAAAAATTGATTACTAAGCCTTAGCAAATAAGAAATGAACAAGAAAGGAAAGATTGATAATGCGATGATTAAGTATTCATATAATGTTATTTTTGTTCAATTCTCAAGATTAACCATTAATTAAAATCATAATCGTAAGTGTAACCTTAAAGTTATTGCCATTAGTTTTAGCGATTGGGCCCATTTGCTTGGCTAAGCATTTAATTTTAACAAAAACGGAGTACTTCTTAACCTTATTTATCATTTCATTATATTGAAGTATCCAAGATCCGACGTCAAATCTCGCTCACATTATTTATCATTTGCGACTCTCCATCTGCACCCCCACCCCAAAAAAAGAAAAGGGTAGGCAAAACAGTTGAGACTCGAGAAGGATAAATTGTGTCGGCATCAGACATTCAGGCCCCAACTCACTGGTGTGACCTCTCTCCTCTCTTCTTCTCCTTCACTTTCATACAAAATAGAAAGAACAAATTAGAGATAGAAATTAATTTCAGAGTTGGGTTTTCTGGAAAATAACATGCAGTGGTACTCCAAAATGTGGGCACTTCACAAACACAAATTATCAATTTTCAAATTAGGGGTAATGATTTTAGCTACTACTCTTGCTCTTCGAGTTTTTCTCTACAATAATAGCTCTAGATTTCCTCCTGATTCTTCCCTTTTTCAAAGAATCACTTCAATTCAATCCCGTTCTTCTTCTTCGTTGTCTGAACCAATTGATGGTTCTGATTCTAGTTCTTCAGATTCCGGAAATTCTGATCAATTGCCTAAAAAACGAGGTATTTTTTCAATCTCTATTTTAAAAGTTCATTAAGTTACTATTATTGTTGGAATTGGTATTAATCTGTTTAGACTGATTATGATTGCTTTACCATTTTTTTGCTATGAGTGATGCCTAAAGATCTCATGATTTCAATTTTTTTTATTAAAGTTATAACAAAACAATGATTCGGCACTGTGTTACTTGATTCGGCGGTGCGAGATTGGAATGTAAATTAGCTACCTAGTTTTGTTAAATTAGCTTGAAATGTAGTATTAGAATGTAAAAATTTGCATTGTTTGGATCACATTTTGGTGGGGGTTAGTGAAGTAGGTAACACTACCCTAGCAAAGTTTCCCACCGAAATTAGCTCGAAAGTTTATCAGTGGCATGTAAATTCGCATTTTTTAGATCACATTTGGTGTGGGGGTTAGTGATATAGGTAACCGAGCTGAGTTTCCCATTGAAATTAGCTCGAATGTGTAATAATGTCATATACTCATATAATCACATTTCGTGTAGGGATTAGCGAATTAGGTAACAATGACCGATCTGAAATTCCCACCAAATTAGCCCGAAAGTGTGTTTGCATTTTTTGGATCACATTGCGTGTAGGGGTTAGCAAATTAGGTAATGCTGACAGAGCTGGGTTTCCCATTGGCTCGGGGAAGTAGAAGATCAAATTTTGGTGTAGTGAAATAATTTTGGGCATTGCTCAAATTTCATTGTATTGATGGAATTTTCTGTCATTGTCTTAACCAATTTTGTAGTTTGCCTTTGAATGAGGAACTTGGTTTAGGTTTACATTGGATTTGGTAAGAATGTAGCAAAAATGTGTTAATTTGGCTACTAGCTAGCTTAGCTATTATCAAAAGGGAATATTTTCTTGAATTGACTTGAAAACATGAGAATTATTGGTAAGTGTGAAATGTAGTTGGTGAAATTAATTAGGTAATCAGGTGAACATGTGCATGAAATTGAGTGTTAATAGCTGTCCATCTGGTCTTACTAATTACCAATCTCGAAACACTCAGAGGTTGTTTGGTTTGAGATGTTTAGTTATCGGGAATTGTATGTTATGCTTTCTAAGTGTCCAAGATAACGCGTTGCAGTCATTTATTATTTACTTTATATTACTCACCTCCGTGTCTTCTTAGCTCCTATATACGATACGAGTAGTAAACATGAGGACATGATTTGGTTACATGATTTTATCATGAGGATCCCCATTTAAATCGTTTTCATTTTAGCAACTAATTTGTTCTACTTAACTAGTTGTGATGGCAATGGTTTTTCTTTAGTTGGTTGATTAAATTATAAAAATACTCCTATGATTTAAAATGCAGAAAAGTGTGGCGATCTTTTTAATGGGGATTGGATCCCAAATCCAGCTGGACCTGCCTACATTAATGAAACTTGCAATTTCATTGAAGAGCATCAGAACTGCATGAAGAATGGGAGGCCTGATTCAGAATATCTCTACTGGAGGTGGAGTCCAAGAAATTGTGAGTTACCTCAGTTCAATGCAATGACATTTCTAGAGATGATGGAGAACAAAACTTGGGCATTTATAGGTGACTCTATCTCTCGAAATCATGTGCAGTCCTTAATTTGTATGCTCTCAAAGGTATAGTAACATCTCTTGGCATGCTAGTATTTGTTTAACCTTAGAATGGTACGATAAAGACCTGTTCATAATTTATGCTTTGCAATGAGATGTTCTTCAGGTGGAAGAAGCAGAATTGTTTTATCATGATGAAGGATACAAATCTAAAGGATGGCGCTTCCCATCTTACAACGTGACCGTATACGTTATATGGTCTCCTTTTCTGACAGACGCAACTATTTATGAAGATATCAACGGTGTCTCAACTCAGGATCTTGAACTGCACCTTGACAGACTTGATAAGAAGTGGACTGATTTGTACAAAAACCTGGACTACATGATCTTCTCCTCTGGAAAGTGGTTTCTCAAACCAGGAATATATTATGAGAATGAAACAGTATTGGGATGTCATAAATGTCAGAAGAACCTCACTGACCTCAGTTTAGAGTTTGCTTACCGCAAAACTCTGCAGTTAGTGTTCAACTTTGTTGCTACATCTGATCATAAAGGGTTAATCTTTTACAGGACTCTCACACCTGATCATTTTGAAGGTGGGGAGTGGTCTAGTGGAGGAAAGTGCAATAGAACTGTCCCATTTAAAGATGGTGAGGTTGAGATGAAGTACATGCAAAAACTGCTGCGACAAATTGAGCTCAAGGAATTTGAGAGTGCAGTAGCTAGGGCATCTGAAAATGGTGTGCAACTAAGACTTCTAGATTTTATGAAGCTTTCCTTGTTAAGGCCTGATGGGCACCCTGGTCCATATCGACAACATTACCCTTTTGCAGTGGATGAAAATGCACAAGTCCAGTATGATTGTTTGCATTGGTGCTTGCCTGGGCCTATAGACGCTTGGAATGATGTAATCATGGAAATGATAGTGAATGGATGAGTTCTTTTGAAGAGACTGCTAAACAAGATATGGAACGGTGTGTGAATACTAAATGAGCAACATCATTCATGAGTAAATAGAGGACATCACCCTATGGTGGGTTATACGAAAGGTTAAAGTCAACTTTTTTTTTCTCCCCAGGTTTCCAAGTTATTAGTCCTAATTTTGTGATTCTCTTGGCTGATTTATTGTATTTCTGATGTAATGGACTAATGGGTAGATGAGAACTTTCTGAAAAGGTCATTGCTGCTGTTATCTCTCATGGTAAATTATATTCCTGATTTAATGGCTCGTTTTGGTTGTCATTTCTCTGAACTGTGAAGAAGCAATGCTCATACTGCTGTAATTGTTATTATTATCTATGCATGATGATATGCAGAAGCTGGGAAATTTTTGTAGTGTCGCAACTCGTAGTGTGCGAGTCTCAGTTCGGGGTGGTTGCATCTTTTTCTTGTGCATGGATCATGGGAGAATTACTTTTGTAGGAATCTGAATCATTTTGAGTGACAACGAAGAATGTTTTCTCTTCAACAATTAGAAGATATTGAGCAATTTTTATGGTCAAGAACTTAATAGATTGATCATTCGACAGGTACTAGCTGGAAGAATCTACTTTGGTTCTCTTAAACTTTGACTAGGAGAATATATGTGATCGTACATGCAACTATGCAAGTACTGAAATTAAAGGTGGGTGTAGTTTTGTCTACATGTAGTCTTTGAGGACTAGATTTTTGAACTGTTAGAACTCTTTGAACTTAACTTCTTACTTCTGTATTTTCTTAATTTTTTTTTTGGCAATAAAATTTCTGTAGTTGTTCCCAAAAGTAGAGATTTAGATAAATTGATTGATATTTCAATTATGCTTGTGTGTGCTTCTCTTGATAGTTTGATGTTCATTCCATACACTTAATTTCCTGTGTTCCAGATACCACAATATCTTGCAAAAGCTCTCTTTTTTTTTTTTTTTTTTTTTTTTGATTAATCTTTGAATCTACCTAGAAATTTTACCTGATACACTTTCACATAACAGTTGTATGTTCGTTTCATTAAGACGATATGCTCATTAGAGTCCAACTAATAGAATTGGGTTATCAACGGTATTTTTTGTGTATTGGGCTCGAATGGCCTAGTGTGTGCGAGAGATGGACTTATTTTGGCCCTTATCAATCACCACCCCCCCCCCCTCCCCACCCCTTCTCTCTGACCCCACAACCCAAAAAAAATAAAAATGCTAGATGATAAACTTCTAGATCATACTTCTTAATTCTTATGTCCCCATGTTTTTGCCCCATTGCAAATAAATGGGTCAACATTTTGACCATAATATATAGTCATGTGAGGGTCTTGTTAAATTCGTTTTGTTGTATATTTTATTAATACTAGGGTGGCTAGCACGTGCATAATACTAGGGTGGCTAACGCGCGCGATGCGCGAGCCATACCTAGCCATATTCGGGAAGTTCTTTCGATTTATCCTTATGTCATAATTTTAGTTGTTGGTATGATAAATGAGGGAAATTATATATTTCATAAACAAATATTTTTAGGGGTATAAATATAAACACACTATTTTTAAGAGTTAAAAAAAAAGGGCAATTAACATTAATGAAGGTAAATAAGTAAATTAACATTTTAAAGGGTATAATTGTCCAAACACTATTCATAAAAATTAACTCAAACTATTTAAAAGGTAACGATATGAGGTTTTATAATTTTTACGCATATGAAAATGGAGTTATATACATTCTAAGACTCGTCTCAGAGGTCGTGAAAAGTCAAATAGGGCAAAAAAATACGGAATTTAAAAATGGAGTACGTGGATAAAAGATGCAAGAATCACTATCTAGACTTAGAATTGAATTTCCTTCACATTTTTTGTTAAAACTCTATACTAGATTTGGTTATTGGGCAGGTTGGGTTAGGGTCGGTGCGGGTCAGGTCGGGTCAAAGAGACACATTTTATTAGGGGACAATGCGGGTCGCGAGTCGATAAAGAGCGGGTTAACAAACTATCAATTAAAATAATATTGGACAAAGCCAATATTATGTATATATGAATACAAAAATATCTATATAATTTTTTTTTAAACAATAACATAATACTAAAACAGACACCGGGAATGACATATGTCACTTCGTGGTGTCGTTTTTTCCCTCCAAAAACCATTTCAAAAAATAAATATATTCTAACTTTATTTTTTTATATCTGTTTGATTGACAACTTATTTAAGACAATAAAATTATATATATATATATATATATATATATATATATATATATATATATATATATATATATATATATAATTTATATATAATAATAGAAATTAAAGATTCTTATTACTAATATAAATATTATTTGCTTAAAATGATTTTTTTTTTCTGCTATGTTACAATCAAATGACCTTGGATTTAATTTATATGGAGTAGTATGAAATAAAAAAAAAAACATCGTTACGCTATATTGCATCACATTGACTTTAACACAGTAATCTATATATAATTACAACTATATATTACTACCTTCATTACTTTTAAGATGCAACAAAAGGGTATTTTTTTGTGAGATATAAAAAATTTCTTTGTTGCAACTAAAAAGTAACAGAGGTAGTACTAAACCAGGAATGACATATGTTATCTCCTTTTTAAAAATTTCCAACCATTTTTTTTTGCCAAAGCTTCTTAGAGAATATTTAACAATATGCAATAATATTTCATTCTTATTTGGTAATTATATTCCGTTTATACACATTCAACAAATATTATTCTTTTGTTTAATACTATGCAATGATATTTTCCTACATACAAAGTATAACTTTGTCACTTTGTGACACAATCTATAATTGTGTTTTATTAGTCGTGCATGTATTACTTCCACTATTTTCTTTAGTATGATATAGTTTTATTTTTATTTTTGTAATTACGAATTTTTCATCTTATTTGCAATTAGATAATTATTATAATTAAATATAGTGTTAAAATAATAAATAGTGAAAATTACCGTGCATGGACAAATACTTTTGCCCTATATTGACATGCACCACGTAATAGCTGTCTTGTCTATTAAAGGCCTTGTCTATTAAGAGGCCTTTAAGCTTGACTCTGACCTTATTATCATTGGGTTACCCTACCCAATAACCAGGTCTACTCCATACAAACCTAATGAACAATGAAAATGTATTCCAAAAGAAAAATGAAAATGTATGTGGTCAATATGGATTTACATTTTACCTAAAATAACCTAAGTTTCAACATGTTTTAGATTTCAAGAATGACCCGCTATTTGAGGTTGACGCTAACATACCGAATATTTGTTTTATGAGGAGAATTATTAAAATGTTCATGAATTACGCATTGGTCAATAAAGACCATCTAATTACCTTTAACACACTCCCAATTCGTAATTTTACATTTGTCTCACGTTGTGACTCGTTAAAGGCTATGATGCATGGGTACTTTGCTTGATTATCATATCCATATAGGACACATAGTACGCATCTGTACTTTTATGAGTACCGGGTACTTTGATACATATTTTATATTTTTTATTATCTCAATTTCATATTTTTTGCAATTTTGGGTATTATTTTGGGTATCATATTAAATATTTCAAAGTTGCAAAAAATATGAAATGGAGGTAGTAACAAAATTTGCTTACATATATTTATTTTGATGATTTTTTTAAAAATAATATTTTTATCTTATAGTTCCTCCGTTCTTTTTTATTTGACCCGCTTTGACTTTTACACTATTCATCACCCTTTTTTTGACCGTCTTTTGTGAATAATATGTAAGGGAAAACATATTCATATGAGATCTTTTTGAATTCGTCTCAATATGTACTTTCATAATATATAACTTTTATAATTTTTACTTATGGAGAATTCAAGTTATTAATCGTTAAAGTTTTACATTGACAAATGTGATAAAAGAAACAGATTAAGTAAAAAAGAATAGAGGAAGTATAATACAACAATAAAAGGTAAAATTTATCAAATTTCATTGAAAACTCATAAAAACTTGTGTTTAAGAATATGTTGATATAATCCTTAATTAGCCGTACTCGTATCATCTTTCTTTTAAACTAGTGTATTATGTACCCGTACTCGATTCCATAGTCATCCTTGTGCAACCTAGGTAACAGTCAGTGATAGATAAGAGGATGTGATTTTACATTCAGATAGGCAGATATTAGATGGACACCTTAATTTAAATCCAATAAAAAGAAATTTTGAAAATACAATTCAAGTTCATTGAATCTTGGGAATCTTCCAATATTGGAAACAAATTGAGGCAATACTATCATAATTGGGCTGAAACTCTTCATCTACTTTTTATGGAAACGAAAATTGAACTGCTATTCGTCGTTCGCAAATTACTGGGTGACGTTCATATTTTTAATTGAAATGACATTTTTGTCCTTGTGGGTATTTTATCTATTTAAGGGTCCACCATGGGTAAATTTAGTTACCGACAACATTAAAAACATTACCGAGCCCACCACTTGTGTTAAAAAAATCTCGAGCATTAAAAAATCCCGGTTCCACCATTGTACGGTAATCCCGAGGAATTTAAAAATCCCGGACCAGAAAAGGAAGGTGTACGGAGTGATGTTTTACGATGGACGACGACAACGTTCACACGCCGGAGGGTTCGACGGAAGAATCTGTAAGTATTTCGGAATTTTTTTTTTGTAAATAGGACATCCGCTTGTTTTTTTCCGGAAATCTGGGGGAGATCCGCCCAAAATTTCCGGATGTCCCCAATAACATCCGGAAATTTTGGGCGGATCTCCCCCAGATTTCCGGAAAAAACAAGCGGATGTCCTTTTTTTTTGTTTTTTTTTTTTTTTTACGTAATTGTTATTGTTATTATTATTATTATTATTATTATTATTATTATTATGGTTATTAATATTAGTTTTGTTAATTTTGTAAATTTCTATTATGATTATGATTATTATTAATATTATTACTACTATTATTATTACTACTATTATTATTACTATTATATTAGTTATTATTTGTTAATGTTACGTAGTTATTGTTGTTATTATTATTAGTATTATTATTGTTATTGTTATTATTATCATTAGTATTATTATTGTTATTATTATTATTGTTTCGGGGTTTTCTGATGTCCTGCGGGAGAGTTACAATTCTGAGACTGGAACCGGACGCCTGCACCTGCAAAACAAACGGATGCTCCGGACGATTGGAGATCCGCCTCTGACGGTCAAGTTAGTACTTGATTAAGGAGTAATTAATGCGGAAATAAAAGTAATTGGGTCTCTCTAGGTGAGAGTGTTAAATGTGCGTCCTCTC